CCTGTAGTAGCTGTAGTATCTGTAGTACCTGTAGTAGCTGTAGTACCTGTAGTAGGTGTAGTACCTGTAGTAGCTGTAGTAGCTGTAGTAGCTGTAGTACCTGTAACACTACATGTTACTTACATTATGATAATTACATTTTGGCGGGAAACATCACCAAAATCTTTGCCACCCGGAAATAGAGGATCGACGCAAAATATTAGATGGTTTCTTAAAACACATTATAATCATCAGTTAAAAATAAATATCACAGCAAAACGTTCTTAGCAATTAACGATAATCAAGGTTTTTTGGGGGGCGGGGTTGTGGGTGGGTGGGGATACTGGGAGAATTTTCCTGTTTGAATTGAAGTACACAGTTATGGGTTTTAGCAAGAGCCATAATAGGACGCCTGTTATGGCTCTTTGTTTTAGAAATACAGGTTTTAATTAATTAATTCATTTCTTTCTTTCTTTTTTATTTATTTTAGCTAAAATGCGTTCCGGGTTTTAGTAATTTTGTGTTCCGGGTTTTAGTAGTCCGGCGTTCCAGCGTTCTGGCGTTCCGGCGTTCCAGCATTCCAGCGTTCCATGGTTTTAGTACAAGCCACTACGTCATGATATATTTTAGCTTATTTTCCAAACGCTCAACAGGGTAAATTTCGTCTGGACACTTCAAGTGCTTTGTTAGTACATTTCACTTTCAGTTTCCACTGTTTTACGTGGAGCGAAGACCACTATTCGGAAAGCCCGCAGTCAGTTAACACTTTACAGCACAATTCCTGTCAGAGCATTAATAGAAAGGTGAGTACCTATTTCTGTATAGATCTGTATAGTCATGATCAATTTAACTTAATTTTAAAACTGTTTGATCCTGGCCCACCGAAAGGAATGCAATGTTAGTAAAGATAAAAGTCTAACTCAGACTGCCATAGCTTGGTTGGATCAGGGTTGTTTTAAAGGCCGTTTCTAAGCTAGTGTCTTTAATGCTGAATTTCTCGAAGAACGAGCAACCCGAACTCGCGAAGAAAGACGTATCCCAAAAGTTCGTCTGTGGAATCTTTGAATTCATGCTCAGTTTTCAACTCCTTCAACGATCTGACCTGAGAGAACATTCTTATTTTCATCTGCCTCAAGAAGGGATGGTATACTGCTGATCGGTTCTGCAAACTCGACCGTCACATTTCAACCCGTATAAAGCCATTTATGTCTGTGAAACGTTGGCTACTTTGACCTATCAACAGGATCAATTTCGTCTGGACACTTGATAGCGCTTTGTTGGCACATTTCACTTTCAATTTCTCCTGTTTTACGTGGGGCGAAGACTACTATTCGGAAAGCCCGCAATCAGTTAGCAGTTTAAAAAATACAACAAAATTCCTGTCAGAGCATTAATAGAAACGTGAGTACCCATTTCTGTATAGATCTGTAAAGTCATGATCAATTTAACTCTATTTTAAAATTGTTTTATCCTGGCCCACCGAAAGGCATGCAGTTTTAGTAAGGAAGGAGAGTCTTGATGGGGGGACACAAATGTCAGTTGTCAGTTAAGATTTTGGCCATTTGTCAGTTGTCAGTTAAATTTTAGGCTTTTTGTCGGTTGTCAGTTGAATGATTATTAATATTAACTATGAAACTTATTTGTTTATTTTTTTTATCGAAATTTAGCTTAAAGAGCACAAATAATGTGAACTAAACATCAAATTCGAAAATTGATGCAATGGTGTCACAGTTTTTTATCAGTTTTGCTTTTTAAAGCATTTCAAGTGGCCCTCAATTTCTCAAGTCACATAAACATTTTTGCTTGCCAGAGTCCAACATGTCCAACCATTTTTTTTTTGAAAAAGCTAAAATTTATACCTTCAAGGACGTAGATTGTAAGAAAGATCCCCAGGAAGGACCATATCTGAATCACCTCGGTAAAAAACTTACAATTGCTTTTAAAACGCCCTCATTAGCAGCCATCGTGGTATTCTGGCGCATTCAAGAGGAGAGTAAATTTGAGATCATTGCATGGTCATTTTCAACGGATAATATCCATCATTAAGATGGTACATGACACACATGGGATTTACAGTAAACCATTAACAAACTATGACACTTTTAAAGCGTCCCGCTGCTAAAATTAGCCATATAAACCATGATAAACGCACATTTGATAACATCGTCTTACGGAAAGAGTGGGAAAATACTGTTGGAAAGCCTCATAAAAGGGTGTTGCAGAAAATAAAGGTCCTTTGCCATTTGTCAGTAAAACCCAAGGCAAATGTCAGTTGTCACATAAATTTTAGGCACGATTTGTCAGTTGTCAGTTAACCCCATCCAGACCCTCAAGAAGGGGTGGCGAATGGTAAAATCCGAGACTCGCCGAGACACTGAGATCCTAGTTAGAAATTCGACCCTGAGACTCTTCGATAAAAAGTTTCCAGACTCAAAAAAAGTAAAAACAAACCATGCAGAAACAAGACTTCAAGACTTATCAACAACGTTTCCGAGATTTCAAGATCCTGCCAAAATTTTCCAAGACCCACATTTTTCGAGGTACCATTTGCCACCCATTAAAGATAGAAGTCTAGCTCAGACTACCATAGCTTGGTTGGATCAGGGTTGTTTTAAAGGCTGTTTCTACCATAGCTACAGGTAGTGTCTTTGATGCTGAATTTCCTGAAGAATGAGTAACCTGAAGAACAAGATATCCCAAAAGTTCGTCTGTAAAATCTTTGAATTTATGCTCAATTTTCAACTCCTTCAACTTGAGATCTGACTTGAGAGAATATTCTCTTTTCATTTGTTTCAAGAAGGGATGGTATACTGCTGATCGGTTTTGCATACTCGACTGTCATATTTCAAACCGTATGAAGCCATTTATGTCTGTGAAACTTTGACTACTTTGACTAGTCATTTAGTTAAAACCAAAGCAGATTAGGGGCACACACAACTTTAAGACAACCGAAAATAGAGACTTTTAAAGACGGTAGGCTGGGACGGTTGGATGCGTATATGGGCGCCCTGGGGCCAGGACGGTAAGAAGGTGCCAAATTTTTCAATTTAAGATCGGACAACAAAACAGAGGATGGTGAAGTCATGTGCGAAACTCACTTGTAATTTCTTTCGCAGAAGGCTCAATTTTATTACTGAAGAAGAGTTTCTTATTTTATACCAAGAATACCAATCAGAAGAATAAGGGTACAAATTAAAGCTAGCTAGTTTTCAAAACTGTAGTCGATGTTTTTATTTGAACCTTTAAGTTTCCTAAGCCAACACCTTTTGAGCTAAAGAAATCTTTTCTTGATAAAAATACAGTTTTAAGTTATAAAAAAGACGGCTACAATCGATCTCATCACTGTTACGCCCAGTTGAAACGTCGAACTTCTCATGTGCTGAAACTAAAAGCACAAATTACTAAAATTTATTTTCACTTGTTTAAAGCATTCTAGACGATTGAACATCATGAAAATACAGGGGCACCCAACAGAAAATTTTGAGAAAAAGACTTAAAAACAACAAAAAAGCACAAATAAAGACATCTGAAGCTATTTTAAGCATTTTGGGAGATTGCTGGGAAAAATTTATCTGTTCCTCATTGCCAGCAAGACTGATGAAGAGGTTCCCAGCCAGCAAGGTGCACCTTCAACCTGCAACCTGACTTACTTGGAAGTTTCCTAGCAGACTAAGGCCATAGGGCAAAATTCATCCCTTCGGGGGGAGGGGGAAGGGGTTTGATAAGAAATTGGGTGTGGCCTAAGGGCTACATTCACCCCTTCAGTGGGGGTGGGGGGCGAGGAGGGCTAAGACGTTTCTGACACATAGTGCTCAGCAGCTAGCGCTCAGACACCCACCATTGTCCAATTTCCAAGGACATATTATTTTGTCCAAATCTCCCAGCCAGCAAAAATTTGCATGAAGAACAGATATTTTGAGGAACAGATCTATTGGGTGCCCCTGAAAATAATCAAGTTCGACTACACTTTAAGTTCGACTCCGGAATCAACCTGGAACCATTTGGGTCGACCAAAATAGGTATTAAGTTCGGTACATGAAAAGATCAACGTTTGAACTGGGCCTTACCTTTCTTTTCAATTTTCCTCTGCCATGGTGGACGACACTTGGTAGAAAAAGCTAGAAAACAAGCAGTCGCCATGCGGCCGCGAGCTAAGTTATGAATGAACAGAGACATTTTCGCTTTTTTTTTCATTTCACCGATAGGTAAATCAATGTAAACACAAGCCAAAGCATATTTAACCCATTGGCTACTCAGTTTTAGAAGAAAAGTGACAATAAGTATGCATGAACTCTTATCGGTTTCACCGTTGTCTTCACGACGAGGAACCGGGCAAAAACATATCGTCCCAGAAGGACGATTGTAAAAGGTCACGCGTGTTTTGCGTGACGTTACATCTATCTAACTGTCCCAGGCGACTGTAGTGACCTATCTTAAAGTCCCTAATGTCAATAACAGGAGCCCGTCATACATAACAACCCAAAGAAACGCTATGAAAGCTTACAATTCTCGCAATTATTTTTCAATGAGTTTGTACAAATATAACCTAAAATTTGGTTTGAGTTATATCTAGATTGGCAACAGTACTTCAAACAGTGCTATATGAATTCCAAGAGTTTCTACTACTCATGGAGTCACTTCTGAAAGGTTAAGATTTTTCAGCACTGCTGAGAAAAAATACCGTAAAATTCCGAAAATAAGCCCTGGGGCTTATATTTTCAAAGGCCCTTTTTGAGGGGCTTATTTTTGGTAGGGCTTATATTCGGAGGGGCTTATTTTCGGAATTTTACGGTGTGTCAAAACTATAATCATGGTACGGCATTTGACGGATTTCAAGTAGGAATGTTCTGTAAAATCTGCCGAGGAATGTCAACGCCAAAATCATTAACATGGTGCCGGTGTTAAAGTTTATAGAATCTAATTTGATTTTTGGCTGATTCAACGTTAAATTTTAGTTGACCCGCATTTCATCTAGACTGCTACACAGCTGTTTTAGTGTTGTCACGCAACACTCTTTCCCA